GTCAGCATCATTTGGAAAATTAATTTGAATGAACTAAAAATGGCATGCAACATTCCAACAGAAATTTAGCTTAGTACTAAGTTGAACCACATGAAATTGCTATTTTGTAGTTAAAAATGAACTATTTCCAATTTCATATAGTTCAACTTAATAAATTCTATTATTCCATATGCATGAATTCAGCAGGAAAGTAAGCTTCTCTAAGACAGGGATTTTGGGGTTTTGTTCACTATTTTGCATATGGTAGGCACTCAGAAAATGGTTGTTGAATGAATGAATAAGGAAAGCAAATAAAATATGGTAACTAAGCTTCCATTCTAATACAACATAGCTTTGGGTTTTGGTTTGGTGTGGGAATAAGAAAATAACATATGCATTAGTTAGTCTCTTTTTTTTTTCAAGACAATTATAGGAATTTTTTTAATTAAAGTTTTTTTTGGTGACACTTGTTAGTAAAGTTATATAGGTTTCAGGTGTACAATTCTGTAATACATCATCTATACAAGTTAGTCTCTTAAAATGATACAAAGTTTAATTAAAAAACCCAATTTACCCAAGAGAGTTAAAAACATATGTCCACACAAAAACTGGTCCATGAAAATTCATAGCAGCATTATTCATAATAGCTAAAAAGTGGAAATAACCCAAGTGTCCATCAATTAATGGTTTAAACCAAATGTAGTGTATCAATGCAATGAAATATTATTCATCTATAAAAAGGAATGAAGTACTGGTAGATACTACATGAATGGCCCTTGAAAACATTGTGCTCAGTAAAAGAAGCCAGACATAAAACGCCACTTATTATTTATTCACATACAATGTTCAGAATGAGCAAATCAATAGAGTCAGAAAGTGGGTTAGTGGTTGCCAGGGTCTGGAGGCAAGGGGAAATGGGGAGTGACTGCTAATGGACACAGGGTTTCTTTTTAAGGCTGATGAAAACATTCTGGAATTAAATAGTGGTGATGGTTGTACATCCTTGTGAATACTAAAGCCCACTAAATTGTATGTACACTTTAAAATTAAGGGTGAATTTGCTGGTATGTGATACATATTTCAATTTTAAAAAGTGGGGAAAAATTAAGTTCTCTTCAGAACATGTCAAAGTACACTATAAAATAATAGATGTGTTTATAAATCTGAGAGTATTAGGAAATGTTCTCTTGTTTAATTATAAACCAAGTGGAATGTTTGGAGATTTCAGTAATCTGACAGGGAACATTAAGAGGATTAACCTGACTTCCCAATGTTAACAACAGCAATTTAAAATGCATCATTCAAAAACTACAGTCATACTAAAATAATTGTAGCAATGACTTCCATGAAAACAACACCAATCAGATTAATTACCCATTAAGGCTCTTGTCCATTAAAACACCTTATATTTATATAATGCTTTTACTTCCTTAAGTATTGAATTATGCCTTAAGATCTATTGTATGGGAGAGTCACATCTCTAATCACTTAATCAAAGGCAAAGAAGTGGGTGGGATTGGACAGAAATGTATTAGCAATGCTGACATTCCAGATTGGACCACAAAGTGAAGCAAGATTTAAAAAACCTAAAATCTAGCCTTCACTGCAGATGGTAAGTAGCAAGAACTAAAACTGCCAACTTCTGGAGTACAATTAAAAAATATATATTGAAATACAACACACATATATAAAAGTGTACACGTCGTGAAGCGTAGACTACAAATTTTCCTAAGTGAACACTCCTTTGGAAACAGCCTCCAGATCAAGAACTAGAACAGAGCACACAGAACTAGGTTTTTTTTGTGTGTTTTTTAAGCTGAAGAGAATATTAAAATAGTTTAAATTCTCCCAAGAGCAGATTCTCCATCATACCAGAGTTAAATTTGGGGAGGGGAGCAGAAGACCCTGGAAGTGGTAATATTGTATACCGTAGTATGCCCTTAATCTTGATGGCAAATTTACTGACATCAATATCTACAGTGTTTCACCTTCATTTAACCACTGAGTAATGGTCTTTTTTCTCGATCCAGAGATTTAGAAACATTTTCTAAATTTATGCGTAAGTTTTGAAAATCGCCCACATCTGGATGCTTCTTTCTAGCAAAACTTTAACCAAATTTTTGGAGCAGGAGTGTTGTGTAAAGACGTACTTTTCTTGCCGAAAGCTGAGCTCTCTTCAGGAGGAAAACAGTGGCACCTAGACCTCTGTCCACTGTTCTACCAGAAGCTCGCGGAGCTCCAAGCGCGCCCCAGGGTGGTCTAGGACCACTCCCGACGCCCCCGGGAACCCGAGCCCTTCCTCTGAGCTGGTGAGCTGGGTCCCCGTCCCTCGGGCAGAAACGCGGCGTTTTCCTTTAACTCGGAGCACTACAAGGCTGTGCAGAGCAGGGCCAGTTCCTCCCGCCTCCTTCTCCACCGCTGCCTTCCCCCTCCCATCCGAGTTTCAGGTGAATGGGTCACCGAGGGAGGACGCAGCCACACCTCCTGGCCAGCGTCCACCTCCGCCTTTCTCCTTCCTCTGGCGGAGGCGGTGGAACTCCCGGGAGAGCTGGCCAGAGAGCCAAGGAGCCCGGGCGGGGTGCAGCAGGTGAGACTGGCCGGCATCCGGCCGCAGACCTCCAGCAACCGGCCTGGCGTTGGTGCGCATGCCCGAGGGCAGGGCNGCCCTCTACACTTGACTTTTAGTGCCTTGTGAACCTTTGTTCTTAGGATTATTGTCTGTATTGCAAGAGTTATGACCTCAGAACTTGAAGAATGTGGGATAAGTGGAAATTATTTTACTACAAGATAAAAATCAGATTTCCATGTTCAAGAAGTGGATCTAGGCACCGCAAATAAATTGCTTTTAAAAGAATCAAGTGGAAAGAACTTGGCCCTTACAAACTAAAACAAGTCTTTTTCCTCCCTCTTTTATTTCCCTGCTTATGATTTGGAGAGAAATGCAAAATTGTCCAGGGAGCTTTCTTGGGTCAAGATTGGCAAAGGGTGTTTTTGGAGCAGTTGTAGGTGTCAGACCTTTAAACTTTTTACATGGAGAACTGCTTGCTCAATCACAGTGGCTAATTCTGCATTAACATTTACCTGTAAAATACTTTAGTGAAGCAAAGATTAGAGCACTTTCCTTTTTTGTATATGTTAATCCTATTAGGTGGCTTCCTATGTGATGTGATTTGCTGAAGGCCCACAAAGTTCCCCTCTCCAAAAATCTCTCCCCAGTCAGTACATGTTACTGATACCTAACCTGACTTTAGAAGATGTTTGAGTTGAGACTTTGTTTCTCAGGAATTATCTGTTAGAATGCTATTGGGACAGCCTCAGAAACCGCCACTATAGGTGCCTGAGCAAGTTGATTTCTTGCCATGAAGCTTATAGTTCCTGGATAGGTTTTTTTTGGTTAGTGGGAGTAAAGCGAAGAGGGCTAAGGGTGGGGCCTGCTGGTCAGGTCAGGGATAAAGCTATTGATCCTTGTGAAGGCCCTCTTGCTCTAGCATCTGATACTTGAAGAATTCTGGGTATGTAGATGTAAAAAAAATTTTTATAGTTAACGAGCAAAAATGAAGCAGTTTTAGGAAAATCAGAAGGTGTGGTACGTATATTCCATGGAGATGATAGTTCCTATGCCCCTGCCCTCTCTTTGAAGCCTGCCTGTTCTTTTTTTTCTCATATTTTTCCACCCATAAAGTGTGAAGGTGTTACTAGGGAGTGTTTTCTTTTGACCTTTACCTCTAGGCAAGGCCACCTGTGGATGGGACAGGACAGCCTATTGTGAACTATGAAGTAAATGTTTTGCAGAGAGTTTCTGGGTGTGTCAGTTTTCACTGGCTGTTGGATTTGTTTACTTAAGGTTTCGAGAGCCTTAAAAAAAAATGGACTGAAGAGAGACCAGTGCCAGTAATATTAGAGTCCCAGTGAACGTTACGCTCTCATCTGATTTTACTGTATTGAAACTTTAATCAATTTTAGGTGCTTTTCATAATTGGGCAAAAAAAAAAATAGTCATAATAATTGATGGTGGTGACAATGATGATGATGAAGATGAAAGGATTTAATTTTTTAAAAGGCATTCTTTTTATAATGCTTCCTCACTGAATCCCTGGAGGTTTGGTAGCCAGACTCGGTTGTTGGACGTGTACTTAATATTTGTTTCTCTTGTGTAATAGCTGTTTTGTTCTATGAAACTTGAAGAATCACCTGTTAAATTAGCAGGCCTGTGACTTTTGAGCAACTGTTTATGCTTAATCCCTTGCAAATTCCTTATTTCTTTTCCTTTTGTTTCCCCAATTGAAATGCCTAAGGAAGGCTAGGATTTGAAATAAGCTTTGTGGAGGTGGTTTTAGAGTAGTGTTTGCCTTTCCTTCCCGTCTCTGCTCACCTGCCCTTTTGCTTTGCTGAACTCGATACCACGTTCTCATTCTTTTCCTTAATTTACTTCCACAACCAGATGCGTACTATTACTCTTGTCTCTCTGCCTTTATTCNCAGACCTGCAGAATTAGCAACTTTGGGGGTGAGAGCCAACAGTCTGTGTTTTAACAAGCCCTGCAGCTGATTCTGATGCACAGATACCTTTACTGTTCAGTGGGTATCTGAGTCAGTTCCGGTTGCCATAACAAATTACTATAGACTGGGTAGCTTCTAAACAACAGAAATTTATTTCTCACAGTTCTGTAGGCTAGAAATCCAAGGTGTCAATATTGTCAGGTTCCGGGTTGTAGACTGCCGACTTCAAGCTGTATTTTCACGTGGTAGAAGAGGTGAGACAGTTCCCTTTTATAAGGGCACTAATCCCATTCATAAGGGCTCTACCTCAGGACCTAATTATCTCCCAAAGGCCCCACTTCCTAATGTCATCACATTGGGGCTTAAGATGTTGACATTTGAATTTTGGGGGGACACAAAATTGCCCCATTGCAGTGAGGCAGTACTGATAATAGTTTTATTTGGCAATGGATTGTTTAACTTATTCCAACTACTTTATACGTTCTTTCTGCTTACCTCCAAAAAGTGCTAACTTGACATTGTTTTCATGTGCATTTCAGCAAACCTAGTCATTATGCACCAAGCAATGACATGTATGGTGGAGAGATGCACGTTCGACCAATGCTTTCTCAAACAGCGTATTCTTTCTACCCAGAGGATGAAATTCTTCACTTCTACAAATGGACCTCTCCTCCAGGAGTGATTCGGATTCTATCTATGCTTATTATTGTGATGTGCATTGCCATATTTGCCTGTGTCGCCTCCACGCTTGCCTGGGACAGAGGCTATGGAACCACTCTAGTAGGAAGTGGTGTAGGCTACCCTTATGGAGGAAGTGGCTTTGGAGGCTACGGAAATGGCTATGGTTATGGCTACGGTTATGGCTATGGAGGAGGCTACACAGACCCAAGAGCAGCGAAGGGCTTCCTCCTGGCTATGGCTGCCTTTTGTTTCATTGCAGCATTGGTGATATTTGTTACCAGTGTTATAAGATCTGAAATGTCTAGAACAAGAGCCTACTACCTGACTGTGATAATAGCGAGTGCTGTCCTGGGCTTCCTGGTGTTTATTGCCACAATTGTCTACATAATGGGAGTTAATCCAACCGCCCAGGCTTCTGGATCCCTATACGGTTCACAGATCATTGCCCTCTGCAACCAGTTTTATACACCTGCAGCTTCTGGAATCTACGTGGATCAGTATTTGTATCACTACTGTGTTGTGGATCCTCAGGAGGTATGGGCAGTTTTGTCTTTTTCCCACCCCTGCTCCCCTTGGGTCAGAGGCTCTCAACTTGGGATGCTTAATAGAATCACATTGGGAACTTTTAAATAATATTGATGCCAAGGCCCCGTTTCTTTTTCTTTTTATATATATATATTTTTAAATTTTTTAGAATTTTTTTATTTTTTTTAAAGATTTTATTGGGGAATTGGGGGAGGGGAACAGCACTGGGGAATCGGGGAAAGGGAACAGACAAATTGCTGTCCTTTTGTTCTTCAGTCTAGTTGTGGAGGACGTCGCTTCGCTGGCCCATGTTGGTATTATCATTGTGCTCTTCCCGGGTGAGGCAGTTGCTCGCCCGCCATTGGATGGCCTCTCATGGCAGCTTTTAAAAGAATCAAGTGGAAAGAACTTGTTTTTGTTTTAAGACTTAATTTTAGGTCTTACAGTTAGGTCTGTGATCCATTTTGAGTTTATTTAGGGCATGATATAAGGAAGGAGTCCGCCATTCTTTATGTGTGGCTATCTAGCTGTATTGGTATTATTTTTTGAAAGGACTATTTCACCATTAAATTGTCTTCATGCGCTTGTCAAAAATGAATTGAGCATAAGTGTGAGCATTTATTTCTAGACTCTCAATGGATTCCATTAATCTATATTTCTATCCTTGTGCAAGTACCACACTTGATTACTGTACCAGCCTTGATTACTATAGCTTTGTAGTATGTTTTGAAATTGGGAATGGGAGTCCTGCAACTTTGTTCTTTTTCAAGATTGTTTTGGCTAGATTCTGGGTCCTTTGCATTTTCATACAAATTTTGGGATCAGATTGTGACTTTCTGCAAAAAGAAGCCAGATAGTATTTTGAAGGATTGCATTGAATATGTATGCCAATTTGAGGAATATTGTCATCTTTACGTTTAAGTATTCTGATACATGAATGTAGGATGTCTTTCCATTTACTTAAGTCATCTTTAATTTCCTTCAAAAGTGTTTTGTGATTTTCAGAGTGTAAGTCAGTATTTTAAAAAGCTATCCAGGTGATTCAAATGTACAGGCTGTGTAGAGAACCTGCCTTCAGTAATCATGAGCCACCACCTAATTATATTAAGAAAATGTTTCTGGGTTACTAATTCTTTTTCCTTTTTTTTTTTTCTCCTCACACTGACTCAGGAATTCTCTTTTTTTTTTACCTGAATGGGTCACTATTTGGAAGACTGAAATGTATTCCCTGCAAATGTAGATTTTCACAATGTTTGTTGTTGACATGCAGATGAATCTGTGATAAATAGGGCTGAGAGTTGGCACTCCTATCTTACCACACCCCCATTCCTCTTAGTCCTCTGACTACCAGAGACATGTGTTCTTTGAGAAAGGACATCACTGTTAGACAGACAGCAGCAGAGAGCCTCCTGTTACCCATTAGCATATATCCAGGGCAGAGTCCTGGTACCTGTCTCAACTCCCAGTGCCTCTGGGCCAGTGCACCTCTTAACACACCTACCAGACACCGGGAGAACTGTCATGGGTAGGATTTCCTTGTCACAGGGCCCTTTATAATAAGTGCACGAAATACTCCTGAAACAGAGAAGAAACCTGCCAGACTAAATGAATCATTAGTCCACTAATACTTTGGTTAGATCGTGTCTGCATAATTTATAGTAAGGCAGAGCCCCTATGAAATATGGCCCCTTGGTGCTTAAGCTTTGGAGTAGTTTTCTGTAATTCTAAAATGGGGATGATGATAGCACATAACTTGAAGCATGTGCTGAGGACTGAATCAATGAGCGAGAGAAAGAGAGTGTGTGTTTTGCTAGCCTTAGCCCAATGGTATGGACTAGNGGACCGGCCGCTGGGGTCGAGACCTCCACGCCCAGCAGACATGTTGCCTGCGTCGGAGGAAGTGTGCGGGGAGAAGTGGGTTGAGGGGCCAAAATGGCCTCTACACTTTGCCGGTGGAAGAGGTTGGAAAAGCGACCCCGGGCCCCTCGTGTCCCAGGTGAAGCGGCTAAGCTGGAGGAGAAGTCACGGCATCCTCAGGCCGGCCCTGGGGCTGGCTGGGCAAACTGTCCACCTGCGAAATGACCCGGGGCGGGGGCGAGGCAGCCTTCCAGGTTAGTGTGTGGCCCTCGCGCACAGCAGGTGTATTCTTGGGATCCCTGGAAAAGAAACCCTTTCCATGAAGGCACTGCTGGTGATTCTTGCTGTGATTGAAAACTAGTTCTTTGTAGACGGAGTTAGATTTCTCAAGCTACGCATACCCACGTAGCAGTGTTTTCTTTTGCATTGTACATATAGATCTTTATTTTCTCGTGTGTGTGTGTGTGTGTGTGTGTTCTTTTTTTAAATAAACATTTTAAATGGTTGAGTCACAGTAATAGATATTACCTTAGGCAAAGCAACACATTTCTTTTTTGTAGTTCTGCATTTATTTAGTTATTAGGTGCCTCCTTTGTTAGGTGATGGAGAGGAGGATGGGGAAAGAGATATAGACAATTCCAGACTATTTAAGGGAATGATGGACAATGCCTCCTGTGTGGGAGGCACTGGGCTAAAAGCGTTTTGTACCTTATATCATTGCATCAACCACTCTGAAAGGTAGACCTTGTAAGACCTTGTAAGAACTCCATTTTAAAGGTGATTGAACACCTGTAGGGCAGACATGTTATAAAACGGCTGGCGTGAAAACTACTTCAGCTTATCAGGGAATGTATATTAAAACAGCTGCAGTTCTTGATATTCCAGCACCAGAACCAGATTTGGGGGAGTTTCTCTGGAATTCTCTTTTGACTATTTTCTATGGCCTTGTATAAGTTTTCTGCATCCTACTTGATGTAAAGGTAAAATTCTTCCTGATCTAAAGATAAAGTTGGAATTTTTGCTCTTTCAAAATGATAAAAGATAAATTTTAACCTCATTAATTAACTGGTATCCTTCACTTTCCCAGGAACCTTCTAGAGGAAAGTTTCCTTCAGTTGCATTTTGAGGCTTACTTCATTAGAATATTTAGTGGGCTTTTTTCATCTGTTTTTGGAACTATTAGAGTAAAAAAGACCATGCAGATTTCTGTTACACCTTTTCTTTTAGCCTCCAGGCTTGCAGCTGTTCTGTAACCTAGTTACCTCTCCAACTTTGAATGTAGTATGAGTTACCCACAGATCTTATTGAAATATAGATTCTGATTAATAGGTTGGGGGTGGGGCCTGGAATTCTGCCTTTCTAACAGGTGATGCCAGTATGGTTTTGTGTATTTGACCCTTTTCTCTTCTTTACCCTCAGATTGTAACTGAGATTGTTAACTATTGTTGAACTTGAAGGACTGTATTTACTGGAGGTTAGCTGAGTGAAGAACTTGAAGACATTCATTGCTAGATTGAAACCCAGCTGTAATGTGGACTATTGGTTTTATAAATCAAATATTGGTAGAGCATCACTTTGTACCAGGGATCAGGAATAAGTGTGATGGTCAAGACAAACATCTAAGTGCTTATGAAGCTGATATTCTAGTTGGGGTGGAGATAGTGGCAGTAAAAAAGAAAAGAAAAACTAATAATTGAGTGGGGGTCGGGGTCGAGATTTGCTCTGAAAATAAAACAGGTTTGGTGGATGGAATGAGTGACTGGAAGGACATCTCTGAGGAGGTGACATTTGAGCTGAGACCTAAGCCCCAGGCACCTGCCATGTAAAGATCTGGGTGTTCTTAGAGAGGAAACTCACAACAAGGCCCTCCTTGGATTGATACCTTTATTCTAGGCAATGATTCTAAAATACATAGTGTACTTAAAAATTACCTGGATAGCCTATTAAAAATGCAGTTTCTGACACAGAACTCGCCTATTTCAAAATGTGTCTAATTTCAAAATTTTAGGCAGTTTACTAATGATGTGCCTATAACCTAAATAGAATCATTTAATGTAATCAGGCACAACTTTAAAAACTTCTTAAAGGCAAATAACTATTGCCGTATGTGATAGAAAAGGAACAGACTGCCCTTAAATGTGAAGTGTATTTTTTACTTCTTAACAGTTTGTTTAAAGAATACTTTCATTTTCAGACTTTTCTATTTTCTTAATTTAGTTTTTTTTTTTTTTAATTAAGGCAGCTTTTGACCAGTAAACAGTTTCAAGGGGAGAACTTTTATTATATGTTAACATTAGCTGGCTTTCAGCTTAACATATTCACAAGGGTCTGCTGCTTCCCTTTTGCCCCTGACTCTTAATCAACTTTTTGACTTATGTCCCTATCACTGTCATGATTTGATGTGCTGGGCAATGGACAACAGTTTGTTCTTGGCTCTCTTTCTCCTTTGGCTGCGGCCCTAAAGCACAGTCACAGACTGCCTTGAAGGAGACCTTAGAGGTCCGTCCTCCTGTCCAGTCCCCCAACATATCAAAATCAAACAACTTAAGCTTTGCATAAATGGCATGAGATCACATAGTTATTTGTTATTTTTGGAGGGTGTGTGGGGTCAGGGTGAGGGAGATAATTCCTAGCATTGAGAGGAAACCTAACCCTGTGGTGTTTTTTTACAAAGAGCCATTTCTAGGACTACAAAGACAGCTCTTCAGATACTTGAAGGCAGC